CGTCAAAATCGGACGTAGAGGGAACCTTGCAAAACGTCAATATGTGACGAGTTGGGAGTGAGAATGGGTTGATTTTACTCCAGGAGCTGCGAGGCTTGTTTTCAAGCTTCAGACTGAACTAAAGCAGCAGCTGCTGATGTCATTACGCTCTTGCGCGATGCTGCGTTCAGGACAAGCATGGAAAACTCACCACTCTTATGCCAATACGGTCGCAATGAAAACTCATTAACAGGTAAAAATCACCTATTAGCTTTAAAACGCCATGATRCTAAAGCTATCTGGAGGTGGTATTGATATAAACTCAGTTGGAGTTCTTGAGAACAACAGTCTTTCTTCATTATTGCTCACTGGTTTAAAATAATTTTGTTTTCAGTTCTGTATTAAATATGTAGCAATTCATAAAACTCTGCAGGGTAAAACTATTTTTCTTCCTGTTAGAGTCAAAGTGTGGTTTATTTAGTAGCACTCCAACAACATTTCAGTGGAAAAACAATAGAGAAACACTGAATGTTCTGCCAAAAACCTCCAACACAATCACACGCAGCAACAAGTAAGGCAGGATACATCCACACATGGCAGTACGCAGAGGCAGCCATCGTTATAACAAAAATGACCTGGTTCAAGCCAAACAAGTTAACTGACACAAACAAAACCACAAGTCTCTAAAGTTAGTGAGATAAATTGTACACCAACGATAGGTTTGGCAATCAGATGGACGCCTGCTGTTATCAACAATACATCAAAACATTCATCTCCTTCAGGACATTCATGACTTTTGGTACTTTGAGATATTTAACTTTTTCTGCCATTTTTACTTCATTGAAAATGAAAGCCATCTTCAACATACCCTCAAAATGTTCATAAATCTTTCTTTTAACCTTTTACTCTAGCTCTTATTTCTTATTTCTTTGTGCCAACTTCAGTTTTTGTCTGCTTCACTTTTGCTGCTTTTACATTTTTCTGACCTTATCTGCTATTTTTGTGTTAATTTAAACTTTTTTTGTTTTTCCTTCAGCTTTTTTTCCTATTTTAAGCTTTTTATGCCTCTTTAGCTTCTTTTTGCTAACTTCAGCTCTGTGTTTTCAGGTACTTTTTGTGATAATTTCAGCTTCTTACTGCTTAATTAAGTAAACGTGCTCTTTCTGTTTCTTTGTGCTAATTTTAACCATTTCAGCTACTTTTTAAAGCTATTTTTTAGGCTAGTTTAAGCCTTTTTAGCTAACCAGCATAAATCTTTCAGCACTAAGCATTCACACGGCATTTTTTCAGGAAAAGCTATTTTTTTCTTTTTTTAAATGAAACATTTTCTTAATCAAACATTTAATATGTCCACTGTTTTTCATTATGAATAAGATATGGGTTTTTGGTTTGACAGTTATTATAATCTGTTTTTATGTACACTGTATTTTTAAATTTGTGTGTATATTTTTCAAGTCATACAAAAGTTATAAACAAAACATTAAATGTAGTAAGTGTAAAAAAAGAAAAACTGTAAGCAAACAATTTTCATCCTTAACAATAAATAAAGGTTGGGATTAAATAAGTTTATACTTCTTCCAACTACTTTTTGAAGTATGGCTAGACTATTTTTAATGTGTTCTTTATATTTTGTTTAGTTAAAAACTGGTCCAAATAAAACCCAATCACTCATAGATGTGATTTTTCTGTATACAGGGTGAGTCGAAAGACCCAGGACACCCTTTTATTTAAAAAACAAAGGTAAAATAAAATATCTGAATAACCCAGCAAGTAATTTATTTTCCAGGGTATGTACATAACAGCTGCCATCTTGAACCATCATATTGGATCAATAATTTTTCCAACAGAAAAATGGTCATTTTGTATCAGAGAAGACCAGAATTGCCTCAGCAATTGATTGCCATAATTAGATGTGAAATATCTWTTGTGGTTCAAAAGTTATTAAAACAGAGCTTTACCATCATCCAGATAATTCATTTTCTCCTTTGTTTCTGAAATAAAAGGACATCCTGAGTCTTTTGACTCACACTGTAAAAGCCTATATGCCACGGTCATTAATGACGTATTTCCGGTAAAATCTTTGCCACGCTTCTCCCTTCCACTCCCTGCTTACTGCCTATGTTTTTAGCATTAGCTGCTAGTACTAGTCTGTGAAAAAGTCACAAAAGTTAAAGCATCTGTGATCTACTGGTATAAAACGTGAGTTCTGTTGTGTGCCGTTGTGTCCACTAAGCAGCAGATACGATCGAGTAGTTAGTTTTTCTCCATTTTCCTCTTGATGAGGAGGTGACAGCTGTGGATCACAGCATTACAGGGAAAACTTATCTTTAAAAGCTCACGTTTGCATTTGTTATCGGCATTTCTAACCTGAGGATATTCAAGAGCCAGCATCAGAAATGAGAAGACGGAGGTTACAAAAGGGAAATGTACATTTATCCCCTTTTACTGCCAAGACCGGGAGAGGAAAGACCACCTCCACACGACAGCTAGGAGGAAGCTAACACAGCAGCCGGTACAGGTAGGTGTGTGTGCACGCGCGTTTGTGTCATATGAAATGTTTTTATGCGACTTTGTCATGAGTTTTATGCAAAAGTAAAACTTGTTAGAGTGTATATTACAGGGTAGACTAAAGCCGAGTGACGAGCGCCCCCCCCCTCCCCCGAGCGCCGAGAGCAGCAGAACCTCCGCCTGATAATCATTACGTTTTCAGTTCACTAACGTCGGGGAAAACGATCGAAACCATACAAGTAGCCCATCGACTTAAAGCCCAGACTCTGCTCTTTCCAACAATATAAGTGTCACAGCTCTACGTGAAAAATTCACGGAACAAGCAGCCACGGAATAGTGAAAAAGGCTAAATTCTGGAACCATAAACACGAACGTCTTTCCTTTGTTTTTATGGCTTTAGTCCACTTTGGAGTGATTTTTTCCACTTGGCTGAACTGTATGTCTCCTGTGTTAATGTTGGTACATGTAATATGCTAATTCTGTACTGTGGAGATCATTAAGTGTCGTTGTCGGGTGGAAAAAATCTTTCGCTAACACTGTGTTGACMGTGAACCGGAAGTGTTGGGAGTAGCATCCAGTGCTGGGCCGGATGTCCGTGGCATATAGGCAATTCTCTGAGATGACTCTGTTGTAAATGAGCTCTACATACATTTACTGAATAGAACTGAATCCAGCTGGTGGATAAAAGTGTGGAGACAATAATTTCCCATTAGAAAGTAAAAGACGTACAACCAGTACGAACAAYAGTGTGACTTTAGACACTCACCTCCCTGTCTCTCTCTATTTCCAGACCAGCCTCCAACAGATTGGCCTCAAACTCCTGTCTGATCAGCTGCATCTCCTGGGCAGCCGCCTCCATCGGCTCATTTCCTCTTGCGTTTCCGAGTTCCATGAACACCTCTCCGACACTCGCTGCCTCTTCCCTCTGAAGACCCCCTCCTCGTCCTGGCACCACGTTCGAGCCCGCTGTTAGAGGGAAGTTGCCRTTGGAGACGATGGATAACTCATCCTGTGGAATGGCGGCCCCGGCGAGAGATCGGATAGAGTTGTGATGTCTGCGGTGAAAAACCAGAACATAGTCCACTTTCCGTCGGCCATCACAGAAGTAAAGACCTTCACCGCTGGATGGAGGGCTGGAAGTTACATCCACAACCTGTGGGAAAGAAAAACRTGATGCCAGAGACCTCATTAAAAACAAGTGTCCTGATGCATCTCAGTAATACRGGTAGAAAAATCAAAAAGAAAAATAAGTAGTTTCTCTGGATGGGTTCTTCTTTACTGAAACGTTTCGTCTCTCCTCCGAGAGACTTCTTCAGTCTGAGGAGTTTCAGGTGAACTCAGCCTTATAAGCACTGCCTCCACATGGTGGACAAACAGGTTGGTCACATAAAGAGGACCATCAGCCAAAAAATAGATAGTTACTGTCTTGATTAGCTCTGTAGTAGGGGGACAACTGGAGACGAAGGCCTACCCCTCCTACAACGCTGTTACTGCAAGTATGACTCAGCCCCCTGTGAGCAAAAGATGTGAATCAGGGCCTCAATGATAGTCAGGTGATGGAGCACATGACACTCTATGAACAATAGAGCCAATCAAGGCACTAACGACCTTTTGTTTGGCTGATGGTCCTCTTTTGCATGTGACCAACCTGTTTCTCCACCATGTGGAGGCAGTGCTTATAAGGCTGAGTTCACCTGAAACTCCTCAGACTGAAGAAGTCTGAGGAGAGACAAAATGTTTCATTAATTAAGAACTCGTCCAGAGGACCTACTTATTTTTCTTTTTGATTGGAAACAAGCTTCTTTTTTTTTTAAGTATTATATTCAAATGAACACAAATTGTTCAAAGACAGCCTTTTAGCAGCAGGGGAGTTACGTAATAAGTGTTTGAATGAACTTAAACATCTGATGCAGTGTCAGCACCGGCAGACACGAGTGGCTTTTGGCAGGAACTCAAAAACAATGAAAAAAAGACTTTCAGCAGCAGAGTGGGCAGTCAGCTCACCTTTGCCCTTTTTTTAGTCTTTATTTAGATAGAGGAGAAATAAAGAGGAAGATTAAACATGGAAAACACGATACTGAAAGCTGTTCAAATGGAGGACAGATTAGGACCAAAATATTGCTGTGAAAGWCTAGTTCGGTAAATTCCTCCACAGATAACAGAAAACAGAAGGGGAAAACARTGTATTCAATGAGGAAATTTACCATTACACTGACAAACCAGTTCACTCTAAGTGTACATTTAATAGTTCTCTATTAAGTCAGGAAGTTGGTTCGAATCACGTGGAGGAATTACATCAAGCTGGCTATAGTCCGTGTAGGTCAGGGCTRTTCAACTGGCGGCCCATGGGCCGTATCAAAATTCGGCCCACCAGTTGGTTCATTCATTTCTCAAGCTTAAGCTCAGGGTTGTAAATTTGAGTACTTTTACACCAATTCTGGTGGTATTATTCAATAAAGTAATATGATGAGGATCTCAAATGGCTGCTCTATGGGAGTTGCAATTGTTGGCTTATTTTGGTAAACGAACTTATGTAGCACTTTTCATTAATAAAAAATAGAATGTGCTGTAAAACTGTATATAGGCAGAGAAGAGAACGTAATGAATGTAATAGCTAAGGTAGCATCTAGCCATTAGCCTAGCCAAGACAAAAACTTTTGCCTCTTTCTCCCATATTACTAACGATAAGGTACTAACTACTGATCTGACAGAACTTCACTTCAACGTTGACTGGATGATCCCTTTTTGAACACATTAATATGAGGTAAAAAAAATGACATGGACTTTGTTTCTTACTTGTTTACAGTTCTTTGTTTCACAATACATTAACATTTCACATAGTCTGTATTTGGATAGTTTATCAAAACTTTAAAAGCTGGGGATAAATCCCCAGCTTTTAAAGTTTTGATAAACTATCCATTGTTTCCAGGGACTCTCGAGTGCRAAACAATTGGATCCATTGAGACGAACTCGACGTATCTTTCAGCAGAACACCAAAAGAATAAAGATTTCCAGAAACTTTCCTTTAGAATTGATGTTTTTTGGAAATGTCTTTGTCTTTAGGCTAACAGACGTAATAGTCAAATATTCATATTAGTCAGCCTTTAGTGTTTACATTTACCTTATATGTCAACATGGCTCTAATTACATACTTTTGTTGCACGTAAATGGTTTGTTTTTATGCACAATGGAATCAACCACAATACGTCAACTTTCCACACAGTCTGTATTTATTTACTACTTGCTTATTGTTCATATACATATCGGTTTGATAAGCTATTCATTGTTCCCGTTGGCTCCCAGGTGCAAAACAATCAAAGCCATTGAGCCAAACGCTTGACAAAACGCTCAGCAGAACACCATACAAAGCTCTTGAGTTCTTGGAACTGTCCTTTAGGACCGGTGTTTGTTGGAAACGTCTTTTTTATTTTTTGGAAGCATGTAAAGCAGACTTCTAGGAAGAGTCCCAGTTGGGCTGATCTAACCAGTACTGAGAAATCATCTAAGGTAAAGATGTTTGTCTTAGCAAAAGCGTGAGGAAAGCACCRGGGGAGAGGGACCCCCAGAGACTGCATGAGGGCCTCCAAACAGGATATTAGTTCATTACCGTTTACTTCATGATGCTGTTCTAAAGTACTTAATTGTCTGACAACAATGTCATGTTATTATCAGCATTTTTACCTTTTTTTTAATCACTCCCATGACCTAAATGTGATGGCAGTCAATCAGGTCTGTGTAAATCTGTTAAAAATATCTATCAAACCATGGAACAAATTTTAATTAAACTTTCAGGAAGTAATCACAGGATGTACATTTATAACCTATTCAAGATGGCCGCCACAGCAACCTGATCTTTAAAGAAAATATAAAAATAGTTATAACTCAATTTGGCATGYATTCATCTAAAATATGGTGTGACTGACCCCCAACATACGCTGAGCACTAACAGCTCTTTAACAAAATATCACATGAAGTGCTGGACGTATTTTAATAAAACTTTTTAAAAATATGCAGTGGATGTATTCGAACAATTAAGTAACTTTTGGAACAAACCAAATACAAGATAGCCCCCACAGCCAGTTCAAAGAAAACACTAACTTGACTATATTTCAGTAAATTTGACAAATATTGAGCTAATATTTGCTGTACATCTATTGTGTAAAATATTTGCTTCAGACTTTTGGACCAAACCCTTTTAGCCACAAACCATCAACTAGATTTCACTGAAATGTTCAGGAAATAATCATTGGTTTTACAACTGCAGCTGATTCCCTTTTAGAGTCACTTCAACTCAAGATGGCCACTGCAGCCAAYTGACTGTAGAGAGCACAAAAATGTCTATAGCTCAGTCAATGTTGCAGATATGGAAATTAAGTTTGACATAGTAGCTGAGAGTCATTAACAATACATACTTGTGATACAGCATGATAGATCATATAATATTATTTAGGCTTGTCTAAATTAGCTACAACTCTGTTATTTCTTAGTGTAAGATGATCTGAGTCCGTCTATTGACAGAAAGGTGGTGAGGTACTCTTTCAAGGAATGAGGCTTTTAGGAAATTATTGGCTTATTATTCTCATCATCATCATCATCATCATCATCATTTGGAAAACATCTTCTTGTTATAGAATCAAACTTCTTTCAAGGTAAAATATTATATCTTCCAGTCCTACTCTGAACAAAATATTAATCTATACCAGTTTATTATTAAGTTTATCATCTTTATAAGAGTTAAAACAAAAACGGAGAGTACTGCAGTTGGTTGTTAAATAAAGTTGTGTTCCTGTTGGAACAGGAAAAGCTCTTTAAACCCAGAGATAACTTACTGGGATCTTGTCTTCGCTCGGAGAGATCTGCATGCTGTTGCGCTTCAAACACACACAGAGCGGGAGAAGAAGGAGAGCAGGATTAAAAGTTGGCGGGTTCTGCAGTGAAACGCAGCCAGATTCCTCTCAGCCACAGCCTCCTCCATCGTTAAAGTCCTGAAGCCGCTCCGTGTTAGTCCGCAGATCCACAGGAGCCACCGTCCGTCTGCTRCAGGTCTGAGAGGATCCTGTGGATCCAGGTGCGCCTCTGATCGCGTGCTGCTCYTTCACTTCTATGCAAGTGATCTGTGGGCAGCAGCTCCAGCAGGGCTGCTGCTGTCAGAGCTCTACACTGTAAAAAATGACCTGCAGCTATGGAACGACACATGCGGGTTCTTTTTCCTCCATAGCAGTAATATCAGTAAAAACAAGATGCTTGTTTTGCAGTGAAAACCACTACTTACCTAATAAACGATAAGGATGACACCCAAAAAGAGTCAATGTGAAAAACAATAAATAAGTAAAATAAATAAAAGCACAACTATAAAAT